AAGGCTGGTTCGAATTAGGGAAAAAAGTTAATCCCTTGATTCGGCCAGACCTATTATTATATTATTGACTTATTGAAAAAGACTTGAGTGCCCTTCTTTAAGTAAGAGGCACTCGAACTAACATAACAGTACACATCAGCATTGCTCAACAAGTACAAAGACTGAAATACCCCTTCACTAACACCACTAACAAGACTCATTTTAAGAAAATGTTGCAAGGAAAATGTCAGCTTTCCCTTCTGTCTATTTTGCCATTTCCAGTCGTTCTCGAGATGGAAGTCTACTTGTGCCAATGACTAATACAAAGCTGGAATTTGTAGGCTGAAATTTTCAAATACATTTGTAATTTTTTACTTTTACAAGGTGCGGCTTTAGGTCATGTTTTATATAGATGGATCTAATGGTTTATCAAAAATAGGCATGTGAAAAGGCTTATGGTTGACATAATTTGTAAAGCCTGGTGATTCTGAGGATTAAATTTGAGCAGATGACATCTTTTTTTTGTCCACATATGGTGCCAAATTTAATAATTGAAAAACTATTATTAAATAGAAAACTTCAGAGGAATGAATAATGGAAAAAGAAAAAGAAATATGAAGAATGAGGGGTGGTATTCTGACCCTTGTCTCTGCACTTTTATCTAAATGAAATAGATTAATGTTGAAAATATTAGTTTATCCGGTTAACTTGATGAAAATGACGTATAAATGTTTCCACTGCCTTTCTTCTTTCATCAAAAGACAAATTATGTATAGCATTCTTGATTGTATTGTCTTCTGAAAGAAGTTTTACAAACATACCTTAATATTTGAGGTTTGGATATTAAATAATCATGTGAAATATTTATTCCAGTGTACTGCATTGATCCTAACAATCATGCCACTCCTGCTTTCTGTAACAGTTTTTTGGTGGCTTCATTTCGCGGCCCTGTGTGGAAAAAAGGAGTTACTTGATTGTGAATGGAGTGTGAGGATGGATCTGACTTGTCCAATCTCAACCTGGTGGTGGATTCAATTAAATTCTTCCTGTGTATGAAAATTGTCCTAATACCTCGAATTCAGGGAAAAGATTTTCTGACACAATTGGAAATGTTTCATTTCCGCCATGGCATGCTAATATTGCATCTTCTTGCTGCTTTCATGTTCTTTCCATCACTTGTGGCTTGTTTACAGGTATGAATTTCTCTTTCTTTGTCTAAAAGGAAAGACTATAGTAATGATAATCCAAGCAAAGTACTTGCCTGCATGGTTAAGGACATTATGGATTACCATGAAACAAAGAAAATCTAGTGGACTTTAAAATTGGGGATATAAAATTGTTTATATTAGAACAGTGGCATCCTTGGGGAATGTAAAATACCAGTACTTATATCATATGATGTTTATTTTTCTTAGAATAAACTTACATTTTAATTGGTGATGAATGACTCGGACATGCCTATTGAAACCAATATGCCGTTGTAATTTTTACTTGGCAGCTCGTTGGGGAACCCTGGACCTTCTGGAATTGGGGGTGTCTTTAAAGTTGAGAGAGGAAGAATCCTAGATATGTATTATGGCCCAATAGGTGTTGGGGGATTCGCATAGAGCAGAAGTACTTGCCCTCCTCTAGGGGCTCAGATTGGCTAAGCAATTGGGTATGCAACAGCTAGAAGTGGAGGGAGACTCAAAGTTAGTAGCACGTTGGTTGCAAACAAATAGTTTGGGAACTTGGCCTCTAAGAGAAGCTGTAAGGGAAGTTCTGAGCCTTACAAGGGAGCTGGTATGGTTGTTAATTGGATTAGGAGGTCAGCGAATGCTTTAGCTGACTTACTAGCCAAAGCAGGGGTGAACAGAGACTCTTTGTTTTAGGCTGTATTGTAATTTAAATTAACGTTCAGGGGGTCACCTTTTCCTTCTGTAGGTGACACTTGTAATTCTGTTGTTCTAGTTAATGAAAGTTACCGTTTCCTATAAAAAATCAATTACATTTAGTAACTCATAACCCCCCTCTCCCCCCCAAAAAAAAATTCTTGGAGTCTCTAGAGTGGGGTTAATAAACCATAATCAATTTTATCCTCTCTGCTTTCTTCACTTTTCTAGATTCTTCTAGTGCCATGTTGCTATGTGCTTTTGACGGAATCACACAGCCTCTGGATAGTCCTTTACATTAATTAACTTCATACCCTTAACCTTCCTTGTTCATGCAGAGAATTGGGATGGGTGAAAGCTTTCCATGGTTCATAGACTCTGCTCTTTGCATTGGTGTCATTCTACATGGGCTTTGTGGCTCAAAGCCTGGAGTGAACTCCCTTTCATTCCCATTCCTTCATTTGTTTGGTCCGGACATTGGTCTGAGCTTTGTGTATCTGCTCGCTGGGTATTATTGCTACATTTCTGGCCTTGAGTTGGCTCCTTACAGAGCATTTTATGCCATGGCTGCTGTTGGTGTGRTTCTTTTTGCTTTGAGGGTCATTGAGAGGAAGGGCTTTTCCTCAGATAGCTATTTTGGCAACCGAAAGCACTCTCACAAACATTGAGGAAGCTTTCCTTCAGATAGCTATGCACACTGAAGAACAGAAGTGGGTAAACATTCTCTTGTACATGTTTTTGTCAAGTTATTTGCTGATACAGTAACGGGAACAATGGACATGGCCTGGTTTCCAGCGGTTTTGCGGCTCAGATTTGTCCTTGACACAATTTAGATTTTAGACTCTTGTTTATTGATGAGGGAAATGGGAAGCAGAAAAGCTGTTTAATTGTTTTAATCAGTTTGGTGAATCTCTATAACAATTGCCGAACAAATTAATCAAATGTTGTATAAAGTACTAAATGCTGAGCAGCTGGACTTTTGATTGATTCCTTAAAGCTCATTTGACCTTGATTCATCTGAACTTGCCCATTGGCACTGGATCATGGATGGTTTGCTGGCTGGAACAAGGTGGATCTAGCTAGTGCAACAATGTAGCCTAAAACTAAAAGCTACGGAAGAAGTTCGTGGACCTGCCTGTTCCTCTGATACTCTCGTTATCATCTTGGTATACTCTCTTGTTATACATTAATATACGATGCTTGATGTGAGGATTACCTGTGACTGAGAATTGAGATTCCTTTGGGTAAAAGTAGTACAAATCAATGCAACTTGGACCTTCCAGAACAAATTAGGTGTTTTAGATCATCTGTTATTTTTTTATTATGATAAATGGACTCATGCAATGCAATGGTTGATCCTTGCAATGGTGAAGGTGGGAATCAGTCTCATGTCTCCCCCAACAACCAATTACCGATCAGAGACCATACCAACTGAGCCGGTTAGCACCTTCTACCCGAGGAAGCTGATTGAAGATATAGTTCTGTTCCTGATAAAAATGTTTCAGAAACTTAGATGATAACCTAAAAGGCAGCTCGGGCGGCATGTTGACCAGGCAGTTTGCAGGGCCAAGACGTAAAGTGAAATGTTCAAACCACCCAACCTTTACCTTCCTGAAAATCTTGCTTTGACTTTTGATGGCGGTAATCAGAATTAACTGCCATGGCAATGACATTCAAATCTCTGCTGCTACAAAATCATTCTTCAGTGGTGTTTACTGGCTTTGAAACCGTTGGCTCTCACAACCAGGGCAGTTGTGTAAATTCTCATGAATATAAATGTCACGGTCAAGGCAGAAATGCTGATTGCATTTGGGGCATGCAACTTGAAAGCTGGACTTGTTTCCTGCGTTCAGGACCAGCAATGACAAGTTGTAATTATTTTATAACTTTACATGGTTCTAATTTATCATTTTCATAAATGGGCTCTTGAAATCCTATGATAATTATTTTTTTCTTTTTTTTTTGCCACATTCCAGATAAGATAGCTTCCATTCAAACGGTTCAGTTAATTACTTAATTTTGACAACTGAAGTTTTAAGGACAACAATTATAAAAGGATGCCATGCCAGGGATTAAAAGTTATATTATTTATTTCACATATGAAACATTCTTTTAGTCATTTCATTTAAAGATGACAATTTTAGCTTAACTTGAATGAAATGATGGATGCAATTGTTGAGCCATGCATCTATTTGAGGTGATCCCTATTAGTATTTGACAAGATAGACAGACTTACAAGTGATGCTCAATGTTCAACCAACAATAATCTATAAGAAAAGGTTTTAAGCGCTTTCAGAATGTGATATGTTAGATGGTCATGGAAGTATGACAATTGATCAGACTAAAGCCTCCATGAAGCATTGGCACTACTGATTAATGATCATGTGTCGAGCTAAAATGACAAATTACAAATGAGAGGGCAAAAACGATACAATGGAATAACTACCTGATCTGCCTCCATGCCAAGTTATCGATTGAATTGAAGTGGATTAGGTCTTATAAATTAAAATGCAAAGGAAACGGGGAAAGTGTAGATGGACAGGGATCAGACATGGATTAATCTGGCTTTAGATTACACTAAAGAACGCAATGTAGCATTTAGGGGTAGGACGAAAAAGTTATTTTGGCAAAAATAATGAGACAATGTACCTTTCGGCCCTTGAGATGAGGATGGAGATAGAGAACCCATCTTTGTCGCAGACCGGGGATGGAGGTTAAATTTTTTTTTCCCTAACAAGAATCAGGGTAAGGGAGGGGGAGCATGGCTTTGCAAACCATCATTGATTGGGACAATCAGACCATTCGGCCTCGAAACCTACCACGCAACCAGTTCCGTCTTACCCCATAACCATTGTTTTTCCAAAAATTGTTGGCATGGTCAATGACCTGCTAACCCAGATAGTCAAACTGCTGACCTCGTTCAACCAGAACAATAGTTTTGACTGTTTTCCCTTGTACTACGGGGTCAGTGATAAAGAACCCCCCCCCCTCTATACTTTTTTTTGTGATAAAGACCCCCATAAACCTTGGTCGTTAGACAAAGACCCCTTAGTCGTTAAGTCAGATAACGGAATGTGTTAAATTACCAAAATACCCATTTAAACATTCTTTATTTTCTTTTCATTGCCCTTTTCTCTTAAACCTACCTTCATGTGTCAAACCCACATTTTAGTCTTCTTTTTTTTCTTTCTTTTCTTTTCTTCCCACCATCCTTCGCTTCTCCTGTTGGAAAATGTTTTCTCAACCGAAGTTATAGAAGATAACTTCTGTAATAGTCATCATCCTCCTCATCGTCGGATTGGTTGTTGCTTAAAATGGGTCGACCACAAGCAAACCCACGAAGTTGGCCTGTGCAAAGGGTAAAAGATGATGACAAATAAGATTTATCAGAACTACCACTGGTTTCTCCACAAGGGAAGAACGACAGTCATAATGAGGCTCCAACCTTTCCTTCACTTCTCTTACGGGCCGTGACAAAGTTCTCATCAGGTAACGAAATTATTGGTCATACTTAATGTATTGTTGGGTGAAGTAACATGACACGTAAAGATAACCCTATTGGCAACCAGATTGTTTAACATAGAATAATGTATCCGAATAAGAGTTAGGTTGGGTTTTATATGTAGGGTTAATGGTATTTTGGTAAATTTAGGGAAATCTAAGGGCATTTTTGTATTTTCGAGAAAGTTTGGCCAAACAGGGTCTAAGGGAGGTCAAACCAAGATTCTAGACGGATGATTGAGATTTTGGGTCAAAATGTGAAGGGTTGAGATGGATCTGAGTGCATAGGGTGGTTTTGCATGTGTGGGCTAACGAGATTAACCAAAATGAAATCTTTTTAGATGGATGGGTAAACAAGGGTATTTTTTGTTGAAATTTGACAGGGTGAGTTTATGAGCATTCTAGGTTGAAAGGTGGGGTTAGATTGGCCCAATTGGACCCATATTAAGTGGATTTGGAAAGGTCTTAATTCAGTCAATCTAAAGCTTTGAAATAGAATCTTGTTGTGATATAGTGGTAAATATGGGTATTTTGAGATGAAGTTTTACAGGTGGGTATTTTAGAGTATTGGTGATTTGGTAGTAATGTCTAATCGGTTTGGAGGTGTCAAGATTGTGAGAATTTTAGTCAATTATAGGATTAGGAACAAAATCTTGGTTTGATGGAAGGGTAAACGGGAGAATCTTGGATTGAAACATTATGGGCAGGTGTTTTGGTGTGTCTATGGCTCAATTATATGGTTTGATTGGATCAGATGTGTTTGTATCAAGAGGATTTGGATTGTAGGTGTTTTAGGCTGAGGAATGGGTCAAAATGGAATCTTTGCTTGATGATAGGGTAAACAGAGGAATTTTGATTTGAGATTTTCTAGTAGGTAATTTAGAAGGTTTTGGCCTTTTGGGTCTGACAATTGTGCCTGATGTAATGGTCGAGGTGTAAACGAGGAGTTGGTCGAAGCCATTGGATTAGTATCATATACGTTTAATGGTGGATTCAAGGGCTTTTGGGCTGAAAGTTGGGTTTTGGGGCGTTTCAGAGATGTTGGATGGGTCTGATCAGGTGTTTGGCGTAAATTGGAGCTTCATGTAGTGAACCGAGCAAAAATTGAGTGTTGACAATAAGAGATAGTGGTTACTTAGCTGTCTTGAACCCTCTATACATTGAAGTCTCAAGAAAAAAAAACCCAAAACTTGCAATGCAGATCTCAAAACCAATGATTCTTCCCTCACGGAAATCCTTGAGTGGGTTTTGATGATGCACAATCTGGCCGGTCTTAGCTGTCGATGATCTTGCCTCTGAACTGAGTAACAGGGACCTGAAACGGGAGGAGAGGAGAAGCTCCGGGGAGAACCCGGCGTAAGGGCTCCGAAGCTCAAGTTAGAATCCTTCAAAGGCAAGAATAACCAGATAGCGCGAAAGTTAGCATACCTCGTCCCTGGGGGGGTAGAAGCCTTTTATAACCACCTCGCGCACTCACTTCCAGGCCTCCGTTAGGTCGGGCATGATTACTT